ACCTGCCGCCCCTCCCCGAGTGGAACGGTCCGCCCCCCCCGCCCCCCGGCGGCTTTGGTACGGACCGGCGAGGAGGAAGCGTGGGAAGAGGACCCCGAGGAGCCCGAGCAGGGCTCGCGCGACGGCGGCCGGGGCGCCCCCCTCCGGCCGCGGCCCACCTTCCCGCCACGGCCGCCGGGCGGCCATTAGCAGAGGCCCGTTTTCCCATCCTTGCCCGGCTCTCCCACCCCACCGCGCTCGTCCGCTCACCTTCCCCGCCACCCACGGCCGGCGCGTCCCCGCAGGGTTAACCTGCGCAGGTGTGGTCTCGGCCAGCCCGGGGGTGGGGCGAGAGGGGAGCGCCGCCGGGTGGGCGGGGCGACGCGGCTGGGAGAGGAGCTGGGGGCCGCGGGACCCCGGGACCCCGGAGAGGGAGATGGCACCGCACACGGGGGGTGGGGTGGGGGGGTGATTGCTTTTTTTTTAGATTTTAGATTAAACTGTCCATCCTCGTCCCCTATTTAAAAAAGAAAAAAAAAAATGTTCCGTGGGTTACACGTATTGTAGATGGACTTTGTAGCTATCGGTTTTACCCAGCCATGGAAGTCTTAATTTGCTTCCTTTCTTCACAGCTGATTCTCTAGTTTGGGTGAGCCACTGCCAAAAGCTCACACAAATCTCAGTCTGGTCCTGGCCACTCCTGTCACCCTGGATCTTGGGTATCTGAGACTCTCCTATCGACAGCTCACGTTGGCAGGCAGGGAGGCTGCCAGGGCTGCCTGAGAGAGCAGGGCCGCCGGAGAGGAGGCAGGCGCCCGACTCCCGAGGCCCTCCTGTGTGACAGCCAGTTTCTGCCCCATCTATGGCGTGCCCTTTACTCACTGCAGACTGCAGAGGCCTGACAGCGATAAGCTGATTAGGGCTGTAAAGCACCCCCCACCCACACCCACACACCCACCCCTTGAAAGGAAGCTAGTTTTACCACTCTTTCAAGCCTGGCCTGGAAAAGGAAGTACTAAAATCTCCTTTGCATTTCCTTTTTGCTCTGTCATCTCAGTTGGGCCAATCCCTGTCTTAAGCTTCTTCTTAAAAGGGGCGGGGGGGGGGCAAGGAGAGGACAAAACTAATTTTGTAAGACCTTTGGTGGTAAAAAAACAAACAAAAAACCCCAGCAAACCCTACAGCTATGTCTTCCTTAACAGCAAGAGCCTGAATGCTTGCCCTCTAAGTTCAGGAACAAGGCTACTATGCCTCTTTTCCCAGGCTACTCTTACTCAAGGTAGTACTGGAAGTTCCAGCCACCGCAGTAAGGCAATAAAGAGAAAGAAAAGGCATACAAATTGCAGAGGAAGAAATAAAATCATCCCTATGTGCAGATGACATGGTTGTCTTCATAAAAAGTTCCAAGGAATCTACTGAAAAACAAAACAAAAACAAAAAAACCCCCAAACCAAACCAAAACCTAACAACCACAACTAGAACTAGTGAGTTCAGCAAAGTCATAGGCTACAATGTCAACACACAAAAATCAATTGCATTTCTATATACTAACAATGACCATGTGTAAAGTGATATTAAAAACAATACATAATTTATAATCACTGCAAAGAAAATTAAATGTGCAGGTTTTCCCGTAAACATAAGCCTTCGTTTCCTTCCCAGTGCAGAAGGGATCCACACTTGAGAAACCATGTGCAAGATCTGTATGCTGAAAATTACAATATGTGATTGCAATGAAAGAAGACCTAAAGAAATGGAGAGACATCTCATGTTAATGTTTTGGAAGACCCAAATTAGTAAGGATGTCAGTTCTCCCCCAGACTGATCTCTACGTTTAATGCAATTCCTACCAAAATCCTAACAAGATTTTCTGTAGACAAGATGAGCTTATTCTGAAATTTATACAGAAAGGCATAGGCTGGAGAGTAGCTAAAACAATCTTGAAAATGAACGAAGGGGGAGTAATCAAGACATTGTGGTACTGGTAGGGGGACAGACACAATAATCAAAAGAAACAAATAGGGAATCTAGAAATAGACCCACAGAAGTATATTGAACTGTTGTTTGAGGAAGGTGCAAAAACAGTGGTGTTGGAGCAAAGCTTGATAGGCAAAAAAATAAACCTTCACATAAGCCTCACATCTTATACAAAAATGAGCTCAAGTTGGGTCATGGACTTGAAAATAAGATGTAAAACTATACAACTTGTAGGAAAAAAAAATCTTTGGGATCTCCTAGGCAAAGAGTAAGACTTGATATCAAGAGCATGATCCATAAAAGGTAAAATGAACAAATTGGACCTCATTAAAATTAGAAATGTTTGCTCTGTGGCAGACCCTGTTAAGAAGATGAAAGGACAAGAGACAGAGTGGGAGAAAATACTTGTAAAACCACACAGCCAACAAATGACTAGCGTCGGGTATATGTCAAGACCTTTCAAAACTCAATAATAGAAAAATAAAAGTCAGAATTCAGAATATGGGCAAAAGATACGAAGAGACACTTCACTGAAAAAGATGAATGGCAGTAAGCACATGAAAAGATGTTCAACAACATCAGCCATTAGGGAAATACAGATTAAAACCACAGTAAGCTGTGACCACACGCCTATTAGAATGGCCAAAATAAAAACAATGAGCAACACCAAATGCTGGTGAGGATGACGAGAAACAGGATCCCTTCTGCATCGCTGTGGGGACAGGAAGTCGCACCACAGCTCTGGAAAACAACCTGGTAGTTTTTTATGAAACCACACATACAGTTGCCATATGACACATCATTTGCCATCTTGGGCATTTATTCCGGGGAAACGAAGGCTTATGTTTACGGGAAAACCTGTATACCATGTTTCATTTGCAATAGCCCAAACTGGAAATACCAGATGTCGTTCAGCGGGCAAATGGTTAAACAAACTACGTTACATCCCAACCATGGAATAGTCCTCAGCAACAAAAAGGAATGAACTATTGATACATACAACTACTTGCATGAATGTCCAAGGAATTAGGCTGAATGAAAAGCCAATCCCCAAAAGGTACATACTGTGTTATTCCATTTATATAGCATTCTTGAAATGACAAGATTATAGAAGTGGAGAACAGATCAGTGGGTGCAGGGGTTGGGGGGGGGATTGGGGACAGAGGGACCTGTGGCTATAAAAGGCAGCATGAGGGATCCTTGTGGTGATGGAACCATTCTGGATCTTCACTGAATCAATGTCACCATTCTGCTTGTGATGTACTACATTCTTTCTCCCACAAGTCAAGCCACGCTGATTTAATTGTGTGGAGAAAATAACCAATTGGGTTTTTTTTTTTTTTTTAAAGATTACTTATTTATTTACTTGAGAGAGAGAGCACAGGTGGGTGGACGGGCAGAGGGAGAGGGAGAAGCAGACTTCCTGCTGAGCAGGGAGCCCGATGCAGGGCTCAATCCCAGGACCCTGGGATCATGACCTGAGCCAAAGGCAGACACTTAACCAACTGAGCCACCTAGGCACTCCGATATTGGGTTAATTTAAAAAAAAAAAAATCTTTATTGAGGGGCGCCTGAGTGGTGTAGTAAGTTGAGCATCCAATTTGTTTAAGCTCAGGTCCTGATCTCAGGGTCCAGTGTGGAGTCTGCTTGAGATTCTCTCTCCCTCTCTCTCTGCCCCTCCTGCTCATGCACTCTCTCTTTCAAATAAACAAATCTTTAAAAAAAAATCTTTATTGAGATAGGATTCACATACCATAAAATACGTCTTCAGTATATTCATAGAGTTGTGCAACCATCTCTGTTTCCAACATTTCATCATCCCAAAGAGAAACCCTGTAACCTCTAGTGGTCACTGCCTATCACTCCCTTAACCCCTATTCCCAGCCCTAGGCAACTAACCTATTTTCTGTCTCCATAGATTTGCCTATTCTGGCCATTTCATAGAAATTTAATCATATAATATGTGGTCTTTTATCTCTAGCTCCTTTCACTCAGCATACTGTTTTCAAGGTTCATCCACTTTCTAACATGGATCAACACTTCCTTTCTTTTTATTGCTGAATAATATTCCATTGTATGCATATACCACATTTTGCTTATCCATTCATCAGTTGAAGGGTATTTAGGTGTTCTTCCCGTTTTGACTATTGTGAATATTGCTGCTACAAACATTCAACTACAAGGATCTGTGCGGACATATGTTTTCATTTCTCTTGGGTATAGACCCAGGAATGGAATTTCTGGGTCATATGGTAACTCTATATTTAACATTTTGAGAAACTGCCAAACTGTTTTCCACAGAAGCTGCACCTTTTTAAATTTTCACTAGCAATGTGTGAGGGTTTCAATTTCTCCTGCACTCTAGTTTTGCAAGATGTTACCATTGGGGGAAACTAGGTGGAGGGCACTCATCTCTTACAACTAACTGTATGTGAATCTACAATGAGCTCAAAATAAAAAGCTTAATTAAAAAAAAAAAAAGCACGGGGGTACATAGTGGAAGTGTCAATCAACCTCATTTTTGAAAAATCTATGTTTTAATTTCTTGTAGTAATTCTGGTATAATTGTAAAAACAAATCCCTAATTGGTGTTTATTGGGAGCACCATCAATTTCACCTATAATCCGGATGAGTTGGGTTTTTTTTGGGAGGCAGAAATGGGCCATAAACAGGAATATGTGTGTCTGGAGGCAGTGAGCGTGCAAACGTGGTCCTCAGACTAAAAAGTCCTGTACCCATTGCTGTGGAAGTTGGGAGAGAATGGAAATTAAAACAAATTACTCTGAGTTTCTCAGGCTTCACTCCACTTGATCATGGGTGTGCAGGAGAAGACAGAAATAAAAACGTTCCTGTATTATAGGTTAGCGAGGCAGAATTTTTTTCCGGAGCTTACTTTCACTTGGTGAGACATCTCAGGGATTAAACTGCTCTCTGTAATACACCAGGTCATTTTCAGGAATTTGAGGGTCTGCCGAGCGTTTCAGGCATGCATATACATGTCGACAGGGTCAAATGCGCGATGGATTAGTTAGCACAAATAATTTAAAGTTGGGGGCTGTCAGTTGCCCTGTCGTGGTGATATTTTAGGTGATGTTTTCTTAAAATCTCAACTGACTTATATGCCAGGCTCCATGTGAGCTATTTCAGGGAGACGGGGAAGCCAGGAAAGAGAAGGGTTTGGGCAACGTGCTGCATGCAGAGAAGGGGTTTGCATGTGTGATGCCATCTCATCTCTCTTGAGAACTAAACTGGCAGATCATAGTCGAGAGGAGACGGGTTTTCCTAGCTGGGCCTCGTGCAGATCGCAGTATTTCTACCCGTATTCTATAGGCTTCTGCAGCGGGTCTGGG